AAAAAAATGTGTCAGAAAATTTTGTGCTGAAATACAGAAGTCTCTAAAAAATAGTTTCAAAATGTTTAGATTTTTTCCAAATTTTCAAAAAAAAAATGATAATTCATTTTCTTTCAAGAGAAAACTTGTGAGAAAATTCTGTATTTTCTGAAAATCGCTTTAAAATATTCAGATTTTTTTCGAATTTCAAAAAAAAATTGAACATTCATTTTTTTTTCAAGAAAAAATTTGTCAGAAAATTCTGAATTTTCTAAAAATCGCAAAAAAAATGTTCAGATTTTCTCGAAGTTTCGAAAAAGGTTCCAAAATAATTGCTCATGTTAATTTTTTGAAAAATTGAAAACCCATTTTTTTCTCAAGAAAAATTATAAGTAAATTTTGTGCTGAGATTCTGAATTTTCTGGAAATCGCTTTGAAATATTCAGATTTTTTCAAATTTTCCAAAAAAAAAATTCATAAAGCTTCACAACACTTCAGAACGTTCCAGAATGTTTTAGAAAGTTTCAGAAGGCTTCAGAAGGCTTAATAAGATTTCAGAAGACTTCAGAAGGCTTCAGAAGGCTTCAGAAATTTCTAACAAGCTTCAGAAGGCTTCAGAAGGCTCTGACAACCTCCAGAAAATTTCAGAGAGCTTCAGAAGCCTTCCCAGAATTCCCAGATTTCTCAAAAACTAAAAAAAAATGTTCTTTTTTTTCGCTTCAAAATACAAAAAAAAGGTGTGGGACCCAATAAAACAGTAAAATCAAAACAAACATTGAAAAATTCTCTATTTGCCATGTTCTTTTTACTATTATTTTTATTATTCTTCTTTCCTTCTGGTCACATACATAAATAAAAACATCGACTTAGCCTAAGTAAAACTCCATTAGGTTCCCCCTGGTTTTAATCCCAAATCCCTTCTGAGCTGAGCTCCTGTAAACATACATAGGACAGGGAAATTATAGTAGTCATGAAAAAAAATTGAATTTTCTTTACGGGGAATGATCATAAAAGGGATTTTGGTAGGATTTTTTGGGATAAATATGTATGAAAATTGTAGATCAAATAAATGCGCGGGAAAATGTGATGAGTAGATCAAATAAATAAATAAGTATATATATATATAGATTTTGGAGATCTCAAGCACTTTTATATATAAATATGAGTATGCAGAACCTTTTAGGTGTGAATTGGGAAAATATTTTTGGGCACAAAAATTTTTTTCTCCCAATAAAAAAATTTCTTCTTTCTGTCTGACCTTGACGAAAAAACCTACAGTACCCAGAGAGACAAATCGGATTATTTTTGGAACTTTTTTTCTTCTATTTCTAGGGGTACTGTAGATTTTTGTCTCAAATTTAATTTCAGAATTTCAGAAATTCAAGAAGAAGAATAAAAATAATTTCAGAATTTCAGAAAAAAGAATTTCAAAAATTCAAAAAAATTTTAGATCGAAAATTTTCAGAATCTTATCATATTGATAACAGGAAAAAAATCGGAAATTCAAAAAATTGAAAAAAATCACATGATTCTTTGTGAGCCTAAGAAGTCTGGGCTTCAGAGGGCTTCAGAGGGCTTCAGAGGGCCTCAGAGGGCTTCAGAAGGCTTCAGAAGGCTTCAGAAGGCGTCAGAGGGCTTCAAAAAGCTTCAGAAGGCTTCAGAGGGCTTCAGAGGGCTTCTGAGGGTTTCAGAAGGCTTTAGAAGGCCTCAGAGGGCTTCTGAAGCCGAAGAAAACACTTGATCCAAAATAATAAATTTTCGGCACCTCTCAAAAATCAAAAAAAGATGTAAACAAGAAGACCTTATTGTCCACTTCTCCAATTTTTTGCAGCTGGTTAATTTCTTTGTTTTGGGTGGGTGTACAAGTGCCACACCCTACACCAAAATTGAAAGATGATGATGAAATTAAAAAATTTAATTAAAAATTTCATAATTCTCTAGACTTATTACAAAAAAAAAGCAAAAATAAAAAATTTTTTAATTGGGGAAGAGCAAATAGAACAAAAAAAGTGTAAAAAAATAGCCAGCTATTTTTTGTGCAAAAAAAATGAAAAAAAAATTAAGAACATTTTTTACTGTTTCAAAATTGTATTCAATTCGAAAAAAAAACGAAAAAATAGTATAGTACTACTATTTTTTGTTATTCGGAACGGCGAACGACAAAAAATTACACCGCGCAAAGGGCGGATTAGGAGTAATCAAGACTACTATTGTTTTTTTCTCCCGTTTTTTTCTATGCGCTTTTTTTTTCATTTTCAAAGAGATCAAGGAAAATATTTGGGTTAGAGGAAGCAAAAGAAAAAAAGCCTAATTAGAAAAAATTGGAATTTCTGAATTTTTTGAATTTAGAGCCAAAACTTTTGAAAATTAAATGAAATAAAACTTCCAGAAGAGAAAAATTGTTTTTTGCTGTGAAGGTTACGGTAGCTCAAACGCTGTGAAGATTACAGTATCTCAATGATTCTATGTAGACTGGAAATACTACTGTATCTAAACTATTACAAGAGTTACTATATTGAAACTATTCCAGACTGCAAGGGTTACTGTAGTTCAACCTTTTTAAACACAAAGGGTTACTGTAGCTGAATTATTTCAAACTGCAAAAAATACTTTATCCGAACTATTTCAGACTGCAAAATATACTGTACCCTATTTATTTCAAACTGCAAGAGATACTGTAACTTAACTATTCTCTCTATATTAAACACAAGGGGTTACTGTAGCTTAATTATTTCAGACTGCAAATATTACTATAACCCAAACTGCAGGAGATACTGTAGCTGAATTATTTCAGACTGCAAGGTATACTGTACTCTAATTATTCCAGACTGCAAAATATACTGTACCCTATTTATTCCAAACTGCAAGAGATACTGTAACTTTTAAGAAATATTCTCTCTATTTCAAACACAAATGGGTTACTGTAGCTCAACTAATCCAGACTGCAAATATTACTGTACCTCAAACTGCAAGGCTTACTGTACATAACTCAAAGATTCCAGACTGCAAGTATTACTGTATCTCAACTATTCCAGACTGCAAATAATACTGTATTTGAACTATTCCAGACTGCAAGAACTCAAAAATGACTACTGTACCACAAACTGCAAAGTATACTGTACGCGATAAATTTCAGACTGCAAGGGTTACTGTAGCTCTAAGATTACAGAAAACAAAAAAATCCAAAAATGAGTTTTTCTAGAAAAAATGTTACAAAAATCCTACAGTAATTCATATATGAAGTTTTCAAAAAGTGTCAATTTTCTTTGGAAAAAAGTTCGGGGGTAAATCCAATCCAAAATCCATATAATTAATTATGTGTCTTCTCTATTTTGCCCGCCAATTTATTTTTGTTTGAAAAGACAATTGAGCGAACAGAACGTGTCGAAGGTTGAACTTTTTGATGAGCGCGTGGTGGAAAATGGAAAATTGGGTGAATTGTTTTTGTTTTTGTACACACTAGTAGGTGGGGGGATTATTTACAATTTGGGAAATTGAGAAAAAAGTTTTTGTTTTATGGATTTTGTATTTGAAGAGAGAGGGAAATTGGGGATTTGGTAACTTTTTTTCGAGAAAAATTAGGCTTCAGAAGGATTCAGAGGGCTTCAGATAAATTCAGAGAGCTTCAGAAGGCTTCAGAAGGCCTCAAAAGGCTTCAGAAGAATTCAGAAGGCCTGAGAAGCCTCAAGAAGGCTTCAGAGAGCTTCCCGAGGCTTCAGAAGGCTAGCAAAGGTTTCAGAGAGCTTCAGTAGGGTTCAGAAAGCTCTTGAAGGCCATAATTGGCTTCAGAGGGCTTCAGAAGGCTTCAGAAAGCTCTTGAAAGCTAGAAAAGGCTTCTACAATTTTCAGAAGACCTAAGAAGGCCACAGAAGGTGTCAAAAGGCTTCAGAAGGCTTCAGAAAATTTCAGAAAACAAAAAAACATGAGTTATCATAACTAAGAACAAAAGAAAAAGGAAAAAAAGGCAACACACACAAACACATGGAAAAATAAAAAGTTGAACGAGGAGGAAGGTGTTTTTTGGAGCGCGTTTGCAACATTTGCGAAAAAAGAGAAGGGAGAAGTGAGAGAGTGGAAGAGAAAGAGAGATAGAAACATGTTTCTGGATGGGGAAAGGGAATGGTTTTGTTTTTTCTTGTCAAAAATATAAATTTTGTATTTTTTTTTGAATATATATTTTTTTGAATATATTTTTTTTGTAGCCATATAGAAAAATCACATGATTATTTTTTTTTTCAAAAATAAAAAAGTTCCCAAATTTTTTTTTTTTGGAAATTTGAGAACCTGCTAACCTTCTTCTTCTTCTTTGTATACACATATACTTTACAAATTTTGATGTGAGAAAAAAATTTTGTTGGAATTTTGCCAGGTTTTTTTCAGGTTGGGGAGAATTCTGTGATAGCTGAAATTCTGAAACGGTTTCAGAACTCTTCAGAAGGCTTCAAAAAATTCCACAAAGCTTCAGAAGGCTTCAGAAGGCTTCGGAAGGTTTCAAAAGGCTTCAGGGGGCTTCAGGAGGTTTCAGAAGGCCTCAGAAGGCTTCAGAAGGCTTCAGAAGGCTTTTAACAACTTTAGAAGGCTTGAGAAGGCTTCAGAAGGCTTCAGAAGGCTTCGGAAGGCTTCAGAAGGCTTCAGAAGGCTTCAGAAGGGTTTAGAAGATTCCAAAAAGCTTCAGAAGGCTTTAAAAGGCTTCAGAACGCTTCAGAAGGCTTTCTGATCCCAAAAATCTCCAAAAACCCATAAAAATTCCCGCGATTTTCCATTATTCTCCCCTAATTGGCTTCTCGTTTTCCCAAAGTGCGCGCGAAACAAGCAAAACTCTTTTTCGCCCCGCGCGCAGGTTTCCATGCCAACCCATATTTTGTTCCTTTAGAGCTGCTCTCGGAGCCCCCCCCCCCAGATATATTTATATTATTTATTTTATTCTTGCTCAGGATTAGTTCTATTTTCCTTTTATTTTCTATCATTTTTTGCTGAAAATTCCAGATTTTTTTCGAAATTTTAGCAAAAATGATTGAATAATGGATGAAGACGGTTTTGATGATTTATTAGGAGTAAGTTTTTTGAAAATTTCAGACAAGATTCTTTAATCTGAAAATTTTTCAGGATATGGACGATTTAGATGCCGCTTTATTTGGGAAGAAGAAACCGGCCCCACAGAAAAATATGCTTTCTTCAATTTTATCGAATGTGAGTTTTGGAGTTGCGATAACTTGTGTGTGGGAAAATTTGGAGATGTGGGATTTTTTTATCAATATTTAATTTCCGGACTAAACTTCCGGAGGCTTCAGAAGCTTCCGAGGGCTTTAGAAGGCTTCAGAAGGCTTCAGAAAGCTCTAGAAGCCTTTTGAAGGCTTCAGAAGGCTTCAGAAGGTTTCAGGAGGCTTGAATTTGCTTCAGAAGGCCTGAGAAGCCTTTAGAAAGCTTCAGAAGGTTTCCAAGGCTTCAGAAGGCTTCAGAAGGCTTCAGAAGGCTTCAGAAGGCTTCAGAAAGCTTCGGAAGGTTTCAGAAGGCCTGGGAAGTCTTTCGAAGGCTTCAGAAGGCTTCAGAAAGCTTCAGAAGGCCTGAGAAGCCCTGAGAAGCCCTGAGAAGCCTTCAGAAGGTTTCAGAGGGCTTCAGAATTTCTCAAGTGCAAAATCAAAAACCAGAAATTCCCAGAAGAACTTCTAATAAGTCCCCCTTTTAATTTTCCTCACAAAAATTTTCACCTGATTCTAAAATCTCAGCTCATAAAGTGCAAGCAGGTGAATTTTCAAAAATAAATTTGCAGCCCTCAACTGGTCCTCGACCTACAGTAAGTTTTTTGGAAGAATCGCGAAAACCTGCGGTTGCGGCTACGTCACAACCAAGATCTACATTTGACGATTTATTCGGAGCAACTTCTACAGCTTCAAGTGCTCCACGACCAGCCACAGCGGAAACGTGAGTTTTTTAGAAGCCTAGAAGGCCTGGGGTGCTTGTGGGGCCTTCTGAGGCCTTCTGGAGGCTTCTGGAGGCTTCTGAACCTTTCTGAAGACTTCTGAAGCCCTCTGAAGCCCTCTGAAGACTTCTGAAGCCTTCCAAAGCCTTCTGAAGCCTTCTGAAGCCTTCTTGCTAAAAATCCAAAATTTCAGAGCTCCACGACCTCGTGCAAATCTGAGCAATCTCTTCGATTCGGCTCCAAGAGCTTCAACATCACAAACTCCAGCCATACCTTCAACTTCAGCACCACAACAACAAATGGCGCCAACAACACCCACCACCGAAAATTCTTTCGAAGCTGGCCGCATTCAGAAACTTGAAGCTGAAGTTGAGCGATTGAATCGGGAGTTGGATGATTTGAAAAAAAGGAAGAGGGATGATGAGGAGGATATGGAGAGGATTTGGAAGTCGAGGATTGAAAAATTGGAGAAGGATCATAGTAGGCAGATTGAGCAATTGAGGGAGACACAAGTGTGAGTTAGAGAGAGAGAGAGATAGGCTAGAGAGGCTAGAGAGGCTAGAGAGGCTAGAGAGCATTGAGAGGCTAGAGAGCCTAGAGAGCCTAGAGAGCCTAGAGAGGCTAGAGAGGCTAGAGAGGCTAGAGAGGCTAGAGAGGCTAGAGAGGCTAGAGATCCTAGAGAGGCTAGAGAGGCTAGAGAGGCTAGAGAGGCTAGAGAGGCTAGAGATCCTAGAGAGGCTAGAGAGGCTAGAGAGCCTAGAGAGCCTAGAGAGCCTAGAGAAGTTACGGATCAATAAATTTCTAAATTTTTCTCAAAACTAGACTTTAGTCTGCAAAAAATTTTAATTCTCGTCTAAATTCTGAGGTTAAGCTAAATTTGGATCAGTATTGAGCATTTTTCAGACTAGAGTCTAGTTTTGAGAAGAATTTAGAAATTTATTGAATTGTACCTTTAGGGCTATTTTTATTTTTTTTCTGAATTTTTCTCAAAACTAGACTCTAGTCTGAAAAAAAAACTCAATTCTGGTCTAAATTCTGGGGTTAAGCTCAATTTGGATCAGTATGCAACATTTTGTGGACTAGAGTCTAGTTTCAAAAAAAAACTTTTTTTAACAAAAATTTTTGATTCAGAAAATGTCGAAAAACTAAATTTTTTCCTATTTTTTTAAAATTTTTTTTATTGAAACATTTTCGCTGCGAGATATTTTTCATTTTTATTTTCTAAATCGAAAATTTTTGTTAAAAAATTTTTTTTTTGACCTGAATCACCCAATTAAATTCACAAAATTTTCAAGAAATTTTTTTATAATTTCAAAATTTTGTGAGTTTTGAAATCTGAATCTAAAAATATTTAACTTCAAAAATAGGGATTCAGAAAATTTAGGATTTTAGCAAGACAAGGTTTTCCGAATGAAAAATTTCAGATAGCCTAGAAAATCAATAAACATTCCAGATCGCAACTCGAAAAACTCGAATCCGACCAAAAAATCGAGCTCGATCGAATGAGCCAAAACTACAATCGACAACTCGACGGGCTCACAACATCAGTTGGACAAACTCAAGACATTGTGACGATTGTGGATAAAGTCGACACAATTTCAGCAACAATTTCAAGAATTGCTGGAGATGTTACGTGAGTGCAGAGTTCCGCTAACTCAAAAAAAATCTTCAAAATTTGTAGATCTTCAAATTCAAAAATCCAATCTGAATTAGATTATCAACTGCGTCTTCGGGAAGATTTATTGGAAGCTAAGGAGAAGAAATTCAATGAAGATCAGTTGAGATTTGATGAGGAACGGAAAAAAGTTCATGAATTGAATTTTCAGTTGAATGATATTGTGAAGAAGCAGAAATCTAGTTTTGATAATGTGAGTTTTTTGGGAGAAGAAATATTTTCTAGATTTTCTAGATGTTCTTCTGGCTTCTGGAAATATTCAGAAACTTCTTCTAGATTTTTCACAGGCTCTGAAAAAGATTCGGAAAGGATTTCCTGAGCCTTAAGAGTTTTTCAGAATCTTCAGAACCTTAAAGAATTTTTCTAGACTCTCTAGATATTTTCCTGGGTTTCAAAAAAATCTGAAAATTTTAGAGCTTTTTCAAAATTTGTTCTGGCTTCTGGAAATATTCTTCTAGATTTTCTAGATTTTTCACGGGCTTCTGAGAATCCAGAATAATCTTCTTTTTCCAGGAAAAATGGAAAGTTCGTGAAGAATTTCAAAAACTCGAAGTTGAACGTCAATTATTCAAAGAAGATCAACAATTCATTCTAGACAATCTAGCCGTCGAAAAAAATCAACTCGAAAAACAAATCACCTCGTTTCATCAAAACCAGCACGATCTTTTAATTCGAATCAGCACGGAACGTCAACTTCTGGAGCAAGAGAAGAATGAGTTCTATACGAAGAGGAATCTAGACATCAAACGTATCAAAAATGAGGCTTCTGAATTGGACATCAAGATCAATCAAGTTGGAGCAGTTGAGAAGAATTTGATGGAAGCTCGCCGGAAATATGGCGAGAAGTTGGAGCAACTTCAGAGCTTGGAAATTTCGCTGATGGAAGAATGTGTGGAGATTGATCGATTGAGGAATTATGTTCAAGGTGGAGCTGCTGGATTTCAGGAGCTGACTAGAAGAAATGAGGAGGGAAATTCTGCGGAGAATTATCAGAAGTAAGTTTCAGAAGGCTTTCTAGGCTTCCCAGCTTCTTTAGAAAAAAAAACAAAAAAATTTCTCCCCGGCCGGGAATTGAACCCGGGTCTCGCATGTGACAGACGCGGATACTCACCACTATACTACCGAGGACACATTGGAACTCTGGCAAAATTGCAAAGAAAAAGAGGGAGCGAGAGGCGAGAGAGTGAAAATTTTGAGAGATCTTAGAGAGTTTTTTTCTGTTTGTGTAGGGAATCAATGATTTTGTGTTGTTTTTTGAATAGAAAATAGAAAATGAAGAAAATTTGAAAAACTTGAATGAATTTCAAAGTGTTTAACTGAAAATTTCTGCAAAATTTTCAAAAATAAAATGAAAATTGGAAAAAAAATTCAGATTTTTTTTTTAATTTTACGAATTTTCGAGAAAGCCTGGAATATATCTGAAAAGCCCAGATGATATCTAGAAAGCCCAGGAGCCCGTGCCAAATCATCTAAAAGCCCAGGAGACATTTCAGATAGTTCCAGAAGCCTAGAAGCCCGTTTCGAATTATCTAAAAGCCCAGAAGCCTTTTCTGAATTTTCTTGATGCCCGGAAGACCTTTCAAAACTATCTAAAAGCCCGGGAGACCTTTCCTAATGTTCTAAAAGCCCATGAGACATTTCAGAAAGTTCCAGAAGCCCAGTAGCCTTTTCGAATTTTCTAAAAGCCCAGGAGCCCGTTCGGAATGATCTAAAAGCCCGGAAGACATTTCAGAGAGTTCCAGAAGCCCAGTAGCCTCTTTTTATTGTTCTAAAAGCCCAGATGTCCGTTCTGAATCATCTGGAAGCCCAGGAGGCCTTTCCTAGTGGTCTGAAAGCCCAGGAGCCCGTTCCGAATTATCTAAAAGCCCAGAAGCCCGTTCGAAACGATTTAAAAGCCCGGGAGACCTTTTTGAATGTTCTAGAAGCCCAGTAGCCTTTTCTGAATGTTCTAAAAGCCTGGGAGACCTTTCTGAATTATCTAGAAGCCCGGAAGACATTTCAGAGAGTTCCAGAAGCCCAGAAGACCTCTCTGAATGTTCTAGAAGCCCAGGAGCCTTTTCTGAATGTTCCAGAAGCTCAGTAGTCATTTCTGAATGTTCTAAAAGCCTGGGAACCTTTCTGAACGTTCTAAAAGCCCAGAAGACTTCTCTCGATGTTCCAGAAGCCCAGGAGCCTTTTCAGATTGTTCCAGAAGCCCAGGAGCCCATTCCGAATTATCTAAAAGCCCTTGAACCTTCTAGAAGCCCCGAGAGTTTTCCTGATGGTCTAAAAGCCCGGGAGACCGTTCTGAATGTTCCAGAAGCCCAGGAGCCCGTTCTGAATATTCTAGAAGCCAAGAAAGCCCACAAAAATCGATAAATCTCAAATTTTCAGAAACGAAAGTGTTCGAGCCACTTTAAAAAAGCACGCGGATTATCTGGATCGCTATGTTGGTCAAAAAGTCGCCGCAGTCGCTCCACAGAATCTGTGATCTGCAATTCCGCCAAAAAAAACGTCAATAATTTATTTTCCCGTCATTCAAGACAAAAAAAAAATCGATAATAAATAAATGAATATGATGAATTGTGAACCCGTGAAAAAAAAAAAAGATACAAGAAATTAAAAAGATGAAAAAAAATCAATAATTTAGGGTACTGTGTGTGTGATTTACATTACAGATTCGACCACGGAAAGTGTGATTTTTGAATGATCAATCGATGGAATTCGGTATACTGTACAATGTGTGTGGCATGTCCATCGGGAGTTAGAATACACGATTTCATTGCGAGACGATCCTCGTCTCGCAGAAATTTGATGCTGGATTGATCTTGTAGATTGGGTAGAGATTGGATTCGAAGTTTGCCGTTGTTGGTGAGGAGAATCAGGAAGAGTTGGGTGGCGGTTGAATCTGGAAAATTGGAGATTTTTAGATGAATATTTTGGCTGAAAATCTAGCTAATTTCTAGCTGAAAATCTAGCTTAAATTTGGCTGAAAATCTAGCTAACTTCTAGTTGAAAATCTTGCTAGGTTTTGACTGGAAATCCAGCCTGTTTTTGACTGAAAATCTAGCTTTTTTCACTAGAAATCTAGCTCAATTTCTAGCTGAGAATCTAGCTAGGTTTTGCTGGAAATCTAGATTATTTTCTAGCTGAAAATCGACTTGCTGGCTGAAATTTCAGCTCAATTTTTAGGTTTTAATTCGACAGACTTTTTGTCTAGAAACAACACTGGAAAAATCTCATAAAGCGGCTACTGTTTGGCTGAAAATCTAGCTCATTTTCAACCTGAAAATCTAGAATGTTTGACTGAAAATCTAGCTCAATTTCTGGCTGAAAATCTAAAATATTTTTGGCTGGAAATCTAGCTTTTTTTATCTGGAATTCTAGCAACTTGTTTACTGTAAATGTAGAATATTCGACTGAAAATCTAGCTTTTTTTAATCTGGAATTCTAGCTCAATTTCTAGCTGAAAATTTAGCTAAAATTTGGCTGAAAAATCTAGCTAGGTTTTGACTGGAAATCCAGCCTGTTTTTATTCTGAAAATCTAGCTAGCTCTTGGCTGAAAAATCTAGTGTTTCTAGCTGAAAATCTAGCTGATTTCTAGTCTGAAAATCTTGCCCATTTTCAACCTGAAAATTTAACTTAAATTTGGCTGAAAATCTAGCTCATTTTGAACCTTAGAATCTATATTATTTGACTGAAAATCTAGAATATTTTTGGGTGGAAATCCAGCTCATTCAAACCTGGAAATCTAGCTAATTTTCTAGCTGAAAATCCAGCGTGTTTTTGACTGAAAATTTAGCTAGGTTTTCACTGAAAATCAACTCTATGGCTAAAATTCCAGCTCAATTTCAAGATTCCCAAAATAATCCCAAATCCTCACCTTTACTCGATCTCAATTTGCCAACAACTCCTTTACAAATCTTCAAACCTTCCATCGCAGTCAATCGATATTTCGCAACTTTCGCAAATCCGGGTAATGAATGAAGTCGCGTTTGAAGATCAGTGATAATAATCAATCTTGTAGATGAGGCGGAGAACTAGAAAAAATCGATAATTTTTTTGAAGATCAAAAATCAATAAAACTCACATATCCTTCATCACAACTCAATCCAACAGTCAAAACAGTTTGCGGTTGAGACAATCGCAATTCATGAACCTTCGTCAACCCAAAACTAATATAATCTTCGATGTGATCCTCATAAATTTTGAAAAATTGGATCTTTCCGCCACTCGTTCCAACAGCAATTATATCATCGACGGCGGATTTGTTGTTGAGCGGGAAGCGCAAGGATTGAATACAGGTGACAAGCCAAATTGGGATCGAGTGAGCGAGTTCGACGCGGGCTTCGATTTGTCGTTCGCCATAACTTTCGACTTGAGTTTTGTTGAGCTTCATTCCGACGGCTGAATCGTCTCGGTGCTCGGTTGGAAGAGTTGGAGCTGTGTGATTCTGGAAAAATCTTCTTAGGTCTTCTGAAGCTTTCTGAAGCCTTCTGAAGCCTTCAGAAACCTCCGAAAGCCTTCTGAAGCCTTCTGACGCCTTCTGAAGCATTCTGGAGCTTTCTGAATCTTTCTAAAGCTTTCTAAAGCCTTTTGCAATTTTCTCAAGCCTTCTGAAGCTTTTTGAAGTCTGCAGAAGTCTTCTGGATCTCTCAAAAGCCTTCTGAAACCTCTAGTGACCTTCTAAAGTCTTCTGAAGCTTTCTGAAGCTTTATAAAGTCTTCTGAAGATTTCTGAAGCTTTGGAAAAATTTCAGTTCTGAAATTAGCTTTTAAAATCCACTTAAAATATGTGTTAAAATTGAACTTAAAAATTGTCTTAAAATTGAAATTAAAAATTGTCTTAAAATTAAAATCAAAAATTGTCTTAAGATTGCAATTAAAAATTTTCTTAAAATCTTGAAATTGAAAAATTGGTCATGATTTTTTCGCCTTCTGAAGTCTTCTGAAGTCTGCTGAAGCCTTCTGAAGCTTTCTGAATAGTTCTAAAGTCCCCTGAAGCCTTGTGAAGACTTCTGGAATTCTCACAAGCCTTCTGAAGCCTTCTGAAGTATTCTGAAGCCTTCTAGAACCTTCTGAATCCTTCTGAAAACTTCTGAAGCTTTTCGTGACCTTTTGAAGCCTTCTTGGGAATTCTGAAGACTTCTGAAGCCTCTTAAAATTTTCTGAAGCCTTACAAGACATTTTTCAGTTCTGAAATCAGCTTCTGAAAATCCTAAAATCTTAAAATTGGTCATGTTTTTTTCATGAATCAAAATTAACAATGAACTAGGCCAACTCGAAATTTTTTTTATTGAAAAAATTGATTTTTGAACTCACTTCAGATTCTCCAAAAAATCTTAAATTCTGAAATTCCGCCTAAATTTTTCCGTAGATTTTTGAAATTTCCAAAAAATTAATCCAGGATTTTTTGACAATTTTTTTCAGTTTCTGAAAATTTCTAGAAAATTTCAGAGAAAAAACTTCTCCAGGGCTCTCTGGAATTTTTTCAAAGAAATTTGAAAAAAAATTCAGAAATTTTTCTAGATCTTCTAACACTCACCAAATTCGCCAATCTTTTGCTAAAACTATTTCTCCACCTGCGACTTCTCGACTGACTTGAACCGCGTCGCGACTTTCCGAAAGTCTTCTTCCTGCGAAACGTTTGTCGCACCGATTCTTTCAGCGATTTCAGTCGTGATCTCGAAGATGTCGCAACTTCACTCGCTCCTTCATCAATATGCAAATCAACTTTTTTGACAATTTTTGCATGTTTCAGGTCGACGAAAAAGAATCCGCTATCGGTTCCGATTGAGATGCAATTGTATTTGGAGTTGAAGTTGAGAGCTGTGACGGGGACATTTGGGCAGAGTTGGAAGAAGGTTCTGGAAAATTGGAGGTAATGCTTCGTGGGTGGTCTCAAAGAAAAACTCACGCATCAAAATTCCTATGCGTCGGTTGATAACCAGCCTGAACAATTCGTGTCATATTCCTCGGAATCAGCGTATTCGTATTTTGCATCGATGGTTTTGTGATCGAAATTTTCACCGGGTTCACATCTTTCATCGTCGATTCAACATCACAAATATCATATGATAAAATGAATCCACCGTCGTTTGCAGCGATTACTGTACCCTTTTTGGCGTCGAAGTATAAATGGGTGATGGTGAAGCTTTTCTCATCTGAATAATTGTCAAAATCGCCGACTTTTTGAACAGCGACTTGTTCGAGCGATTTGTTGGGATCGTTTGAGAATGCCAAATCGCCTCTCTGCAAAAATTATTGATTGATGGCTTCAGAAGGCTTCAGGAGGATGCATGAAGCTTCAGAAGACTTCAGAAGCCTTCAGGAAAATTCAGAAGGTTTCAGGAAGCTTCAGGAGGCTCCAGAAGGATCCAGAAGACTTCAGAAGGATTCAGGAAAATTCAGAGAACTTCAGAAGGCTTCAGAAAAATTCAGAAGGTTTCAGAAGGCTTTAGGAATATTCCAAAAGCTTCAGGACGCTCCAGAAAGATTTACTGGGCTTCAGAAGGCTTTACTGGGCTTCAGAAGACCTCAGGAGGATTCAGGAAACTTCAAGAAAAATTAGAAGGTTTTAGAAGGCTCCAGAAGGCTTCCGGAAAATTCAGAAAGATTCAGAAAGCTCCAGAAGGCTTTACTGGGCTTCAGAAGGCTCTAGGAAGCTTCAGAAGACTTTGAGAAGTTTCAGAAGGTTTCAGAAGAGTTCAGGAGGCTTCTGAAAGTTTCGGAAAATTCCATGAAGATTCAGGAAGCTTCAGAATAAATTTCAGAATTCAAATATCGATTTTTTCTACACTCTATTCTGACTGGACTTTTTTCCTAGAGATTCTGAATTTGAATTTCTCTGAATTTTCAAAATAATTTATTTTTGTTCTAGAAAAAAACTTTCAAGTGTTTTTTTTTCTGAAAATCTGGATCAAAACATGGAATTTTTCAATTTTTCAGCTTGATTCATGTATCTTAAGATTCAGAAGCCTTTAGAAGGCTTCAGGAGGCTCCAGAAAGCTCCAGAATATTTTGGGAAGCTTCAGAAGGCTTCAGAAGGCTTCAGAGGGCTCCAGAAGCCTTCAGAAGGAATCAAAAGGTCACATAGGCTTCCCAAGCTCTCTAGGCTTCTGAAAAAAACTCACATTCAACTCAATATCACCCAAAAACTCAGCCGAAGTTGGTATAACCAAAATACAATACATATGAATTCCACCAGAAGCATAAATGCAAATATTTCCAGAACTGTGTCCAGTTAGATGAACTTGTCGATATGCCGAATGTTCGGGATTTGCCTCGTTTGGAAAAGTTGTTGAGGTGTTGAGGAATGGAAATGGGCGAAGTGAGTAGCCGAGATTTGTCCAGTGGTTTTTGCCGGCCTGGAAAACAGCGAGGGATTTTCAGAACCTATTTTCAGCCTGAGATTTTGTGTAGGTTTTTCCGAAGTGTAATTATTGATTTTTAAGGAAAAGCTGAAGATTTTAAATGATTTTTAATATTTTCAAAATTCCAGAAATTTCAATTTTCTTCTCGAAATTTTCAGATTCTTTGAACAATTTTCGGTTTTTCAATTTCTGAATAATTCAACTTACTGTAAGTTGGAGATTTTAAATGAACTTGAATATTTTCAAAATTCCAGAAAATTTCAGAGATTCAATTTAATTTAAATGTTTTTTTTCAAAATTGTTTTTTGTTTTTTTTTAAATTTTTTTTGGATTTAGTTTTTAATTTTTTTTAGATTTCAATTTTCTTCTTGAAATTCTCAGAGTTCAATTAAAATCTCTGTGAATTTATTGATTTTTTGAAAATCCTCACTGAATAATTCAACTTACTGTAAGTCAAAAATATTCACATATATTAGAATCCAGAAAAAAAAAATAATTTTTAAATACAGGAGCTTCTGGAGCTTTTTCAAGATTCATTCTGATCATAAAACATTTTTTGAGCGAATATCTGGTTTTAAAAAATCTACTGGGAAGCTTCAGAAGATTCCTGAAGGCTTCAGAAGTCATCGTAAAGCTTCGGAAGTCTTCAGAAGGCTCCCGGAATCTTCTGAAACCTTCAGAAGGCTTCAGAAAGCATCCGGAAGCTTCAGAAGACTTCAGAAGGCTTTTGAAAGCTTCAGAAAGTTTTTGAAAGTTTCAGAAGACTTTAAAAATCTTCAGAAAAAAATCCCAATCAAAAAATACCTCCAACAATCTCATCCACGTATTTTCATCAACATCCAACGCTCGAAATTGGCAAGTCAATTCGGTATTATTCACATTATAAAAATACATTGGCCTCATAATTTTCCACGTGTTCATATCGATCGAAATCACTTCATTACTTGTGACAACTACAAAAATGCCTTGTTTTTTGGTGAGTTTTGGATCGGATGGAATATCATCAAAAGCTCGAATTGCTACGATTGCTCCAGCGTGTTCAAATTTGGCGACTCGATTTCCTTGGCGAATTGTGATGGTGTTTAGTTCGTCTGAGCTGTGCTCACTTTTTCCACCGTGATAGGCGATGAAATCGTCGTTGTTCCTGAAATTTTGAAGATTTTGTGGGCTTCAGGAGGTTTTGGGAGGCTTCAGAAGACTTCAAGAAAATTCAGAAGGCTTCAGAGAGCTTCTGGAAATTTCAGAAGGCCAATAGAGGCTTTAGGAGGTTTCAGGAACTTTCAGAGAGCTTTATAGGACTTCAAGGAGTTCCAGAAGGCTTCACGAGGTTTCACAATTTTTAAATTTTGAGAAAATCGATTCTGAATCAAACAAAATTCGATTTTCAGATTTTTTTGGATCTCAAAATTGTATGAAAATCTTGAATTTTTTCTTGGAAATTTCAGAAATGAGCCTTTTTCGAATCTCAAAAAATCCCTGATGGATCGGAACTTGAAATTCTGAATTTCAGCAAAATTCCATCTGGAACCTTTTTAGAGAGCGAACAATTCAGAAAATAATTGATTTAAGGAATCAAAAGGTACCTAAAGCCCTATAAGGTCTCCAAAAGCCTTCTGAACCTCTCTGAAGGCTCCAGAAGTCTTTTAGAGTCTTCCAGAATATCTGAAAGCCTTCTGAAGCTTTTTTAAAGCCTTCTAGAAAATCTTAAAGTCTTCTAGAATATCTGAAAGCCTTCTGAAGCCTTTTGAAGACTTCGGAAACCTCTCGAAGCCTTCTGAAGCTCTCTAAAGGCTCCTGAAGCTTCATAAAACCTTCCAGAATATCCGAGAGCCTTCTGAATCTTTTTCAAGGCTCCAGAAGCCTTCTAGAATATCTGAAAGCCTTCTGAAGCCTTTTGAAGACTTCGGAAACCTCTCGAAGCCTTCTGAAGCTCTCTAAAGGCTCCTGAAGCCTCTCAAAGCCTTCTAGAATATCTGGAAGCCTTCTGAATCTTTTTCAAGGCTCCAGAAGCCTTTTGAAGCCTTCTAGAGTCTTCAAAGGCCTTCTGAAGCTCTCTCTAGGCTTCTGAAGCCTTTTAAAACCTTCTGAAGCTCTCTGAAGCTTTCTAGAATATCTGAAAGCCTTCTGAAACTTATAGAAGGCTTCAGAAACCTCTCGAAGCCTCCTGAAGCTCTCTAAAGGCTTCCAAAGCTTTCTGAAGAAACCCCAATTCATTTTTAGATTCAAGACTTCCCACAACTCACTCCACATCCTTCAAAACAGTCAAATGAAACATGGTATCCGTCGGAAAAGGCTCTTTAAAATCCGCCGCAAAACCCTCCATCTCCTTGATATCAAATCTCGAATGCCAATGTGGAAATTGAACATTCCACTTGGTAAATTTATGATTTTCCGCAATTCCATAAATCGATAACAAATCAGAATCCCAAACAAGTTGCCTTATGTTCGACCCATCACCATTTTGCATTCTGACAACTTCCTCTAACTTTCCATCATGACATCTAACAACATAACCATCTGGTCCAACAAGCAGCATATTTTCGGGATTTTTGGCACTTGTCAAAATGCATCGACACGATTTATCGATTGATTCGTCGAGAAATTGAAAAGCGCGATTCCAATCATCTTTTGTGACGAATACTTTGATTGCCAGGTTGGATTTGGATATTCGGAAGATCTCATTTTTGACGGCAGTGTATAAAAATGTATTGTCTCGCAGGGTTTGAACATCGGAAACGCGCCAATCGATTAGTGTTCCGTTTTCGAGGGGAATTGTGCAGGTTCCAACGTTTTTTAGTGCATTTTCTGGAAAAATTTGGATTTTGGTGGGTTGAAGAGGAGCTCATTTGATTTTTGGCGCCAAAAAAATATATTTCTGTCCGAGTTCGATTCAGAATCCTATTTTTTTTTTCAAAATCCACTCTCATAGAACTCTATACGCTGTTCAAAATGCTGAGAAGCACCAGGGAGAGCCGAGAAAAAAGAAAATCAGATGGTGTAGCTGGTAAGTGTCTAGATTGCCAATTGAGCGGTCACGGGTTCGATTCCCCCTGGTGACTATTTTTTTTATTTCAAACAAGCTGAAGAGAGATTCAGAAAGGTTCAGGAGGCTTCAGGAAGGTTCAGAAGGCTTTAGAAAGCTTCAAGAAGGCTTCAAGAAGCTTCAGGAGGCTCCAGAACACTTCAGAAAGCTTCAGAACGCTTCAGAAGCTTCAGAAGTCTTTGGAATGCTTCAAGAAGTTTCAGAAATTTTCAGAAGGCTTCAGAGGACTTCAGAAAGCTCCAGAAGGCTTTGGAAGGTTTTTGGAGGCTTCAGAAAGGTGAAAGACGCTTCAGAATGCTCCAGAAAGCTTCAGAAAGCATTTCAAGGCTTCAGAAGGTTTTTGAAGACTTCAGAAGGCTTCAAGAAGCTTCAGGAAGCTCCAGAAGTCTTCGGAATGCTTCTGGAGGCTTCAGAAGGCTTCAGAAAGCTTCAGAAAGCATCAGAAGGCTTCAGGAAGCTTCAAAGGACTTCAGGATTCTCCAGAAGACTTCAGAGAGCTTCAGAAGCCTTCAGAAGCCCTATTTGAGCCAAGAAAATGAGCCCTGAAAATTGGTGGTGTAGCTGGTAAGTCTCTAGATCGCCAATTAAGAGGTCGCGGGTTCGAGTACCCCTGGCGACTATTTTTTTCGATTTCAAACATAGCCCCCTAGTCACTAGGTGGGCTCGAACCCGCGACCTTCTAATTCGGAATCTGGGCACTTACCAAATACACCATCTGATCACCAATTTTTAGGGCTCATTTTCTAGGCTCAAATAGAGCTTCCAAAGTCTTCTGAAGCTTCTTGAAGCCTTCTGAAGAATTCCGAAGTCTTTTAAATCTTCTTGAAGCCTTCTCGCCTCCAGGCAGAGCTCAGAAGCTGATTTTCACAGCATTTTGATCAGCGTAAAAAGTTCTATCAGAAAATTCCCAAAATTCTCACCACAAACTTCCAACTTGATAACAATTCCCTCTTCACAAAGCACAAAAATCGTATCCTCTCCCAAAAATCTGACATCCATTATCAAAACATCGTCCAATTTGATGGCAATCGAAGTTCCCGGCGATTTATATAGAATCACTTCATTATCAATGGTCCCAAAAATAAAAGTCCGTGCTGTTGGATCGCTATCGAAGGCGAATATATTTGGCGGAAGTCCAACTCGATTACCCTGGAAGAAATAATTATTGATTGATTTTTGAAATATATTTTTGGCGCGAAAATTACCTCTTCAGGACTCAAAAAATCGCTCAAATTTGACACATTTTTCTTGCCGCCACCACCGCCAAAAAATCGACCCCGTCGCGAATTTTCCGTCATTTTCTGGTGATGCTGAAAAAAGTTAGCCTAACTCATCTAAAAAATTTTAGAAAAAAAGGTAAAAAATAGTGCGATGACTAATATAAAACACAAAAACACAACAAAAAAAATGAGAGGTACACGGCGACGAAAAAATGCAGACACAAGTGGTGTGTGTTCACAGGGAAAGGACGCGCATATGCGATGAGAGAGTGTGGAGAGGTGAGAGAGTGCGAGGGGGAGAGAGAGAGAAGGACACATATGAGTAATTTGGAACGGGCAAGAGGAGAACAACATAGAAACAACATGGTTTTGGTGAATATAGTTAGAGGAACTAGAATTCTGATGACTTTCAGCATTTTTGTCTGAAATTTTGTCTGGAATTCCTGAGGAGAAACTAGAAAATATGGTTTTTCATAGGAAAAAATAGAAAAACTAGATTTTTTGATAATTTTTTCAGTGTTTTCGAACTAAACTGCGAGATATTTTTCGAAGAAAACTGAAAAAAATGAAAAAAAGTGGTTTTTGACTGAAATTAAATATGGAATTTTGAGAAGAAAACTAGAAAAAATTAATGAAAAATGTGATTTTTCACTGAAATTCAAGGAAAAAATTTAAGGAAACTGGATTTTTGATTGAAGCTGTAATTTTTTTCAGCATTTTCGAACTAAATTTCCATAAAAAAACGGTTTCGGGAAAATTTTCAAAAAAGATTTTCACTGTGAAGAGTTAGAGTAACTAAAAAAATAGAAAAAAATTTGGATTTTGCCTGAATTTTTAGGAAACAATATAAGGAACTGGATTTTCGATTGAAGATGTGTTTTTTTTTCAACTTCAATCTTTTTTGGAGGCTTCAGAAGGTTCTGGAGAGCTTTCGGGAAGGCTTCGGGGCTTCAGAAGGCTTTCGGAGGCTCTAGGAAGCTTCTGGAGAGGCCTCGGGGCTTCAGAAGGCTCTAACAAGCTTCAAAAAACTTCAGAAGAATTCTGGAGCCATCAGAAGGCTTAGGGAGGCTTCAGAAGATTTCAAAAGGCTTCAGAAGGCTTTAAAAAGCTTCAGAAAGCCTTGGACAGCCTTAGAGGGCTTCAAAGGGCTTCAGAAGATTTCAAATGGCTGCAGAAGACTCTAACAAGCTTCAGAAGGCTTCAGAAGACTCTAACAAGCTTCAGAAGGCTTCAGAAGGCTTCAGAAGACCTTGCGTGAAAATCCTGTACAAAAACACACAAAACTATCAAAAAAACTAGGTTGTTTAAAGGGACATACTATAAAAAACCTATCCAATTTAGTTTCAAGTTAGATTTTCAGGTTTTTAGAATTTGAAATTTCAACAAAAAAATGTGGAGCAATAATTTTTATTAGAAAACTGGAAAAATCAAAATCAATAAAGAATTGATCCTTTCTTCTACTAGAAAATGTCAAAAAATATGTTGAGATTCATTGAAGAAAATCAGCGAGAGAGTGTTAGAAAATGAGAGAGTGCGAGGGGTAAAAAGATGAATATATGTATACAAAGTAAGTAATTTGATGGGAATGAGAGAGAGAGGAATAATAATATGTTTTTGTGTAATTTTGAGATTTTCCGGTTGGATAGGGTTGGTTTTTGTTTTGATAATGAGAATTTTGTGGGATTTTTTGGGAAAAGGAATTTTGTACAGCAAAAAAAATAATGAAAATCTATAAAAATCTGTAAAATTTTTTCTCAAAGTTTATGATTTTCTTAACACAAAATAAAATAAATAACAGAGACTCCAAGCCTAGAAAATTCCAAAAAAAGTATTTTTTAATATTTCTAAATGTTGTAAACATCAAATATTAGTTTAATGTTTTTTGAAGTAAAAAAAATAAATCTATATTTTTTTCCAGAAAATTTCTATCTTATCAACTGGAAATTGTCGAAACTAGTTTGTGAACAGAAAAAAAAATATTTTTAAAATAAAAAATACAAAATTATTTTTGGATATTTGCGCAGGTGGTCAAATTTTAAAAAAAAAAAATGTTGAAAATTTTTTTTAATGGAGCTCTGAGAAACAAAAAATATTCAAAAATTCAAAATTTGACATAATTTTCCTTATCAAAAAAAAAAAGTTTTTTTGAACCTCAAAGAAAAAAAAAGTTTGTGAGTCATTCATAAAAAAATTTTTTTTTCTATTTTTTTGGTAAAAAATGTGTCACCTATGAAAATAGTTCTGAATTTAGAAAGTATCTGTTCAGAAAAAAACATATTAAAAAAAAAAACAGGAAAAAAAGACAAATGTCTATTGCGAAATCTACAGATGTTAGGGTTTTTGGTGAAAAAAAATGCGAAAAATGGGAAAAAATAAATTGTAGGCAATTTTCTAGTGGGAAATTATTGTTGCGAAATCTTGTAATTTAAAAAAATTTGAAAAATCTGAAATGTTTGGGCTTCAGAAGACTTCAGGGGGCTGAAGGGGCTTGAGAAGGCTTCAGCGGACTTCAGAAGGCCTGATGGGCTTTAGAATTCTTCATGGGGCTTCAGAAGGCTTCAAGGGGCTTTTGAACACTTTAGAAAGCCTCTGAGGGCTTCAGAAGGCCTAGTGGGCTTCAGAAGGCTTCAGAGAACTTCAGAGAGCTCTAAAAGGATTCAGAGGCCTTCAGAAGGCTTTAGAAGGCTTTCCAAGGCTTCAGAAGGCTTTCCGAGGCTTTCCAAGGGTTCCCAAGGCTTCCCAAGGCTTCCCAAGGCTTCCCAAGGCTTCCCAAGGCTTCCCAAGGCTTCCCTAGGCTTTTCAAGGCTTCAGAAGGCTTCAAAAAGCCTAGTCAGCTCTAGAGACATTTTCCTTCTTCAGAGAATTATTCTCAAAAATGATCCGAATTCCCAAGAGCATATTTTTTCATTAAAAAATAAAATAAAAATTATCATCACCAAATAATTTCAGTCTTTTACTTCACCTAACTTTTTCCAACTTTTTCGAATATTTTTATTTCAATGGAAGATTATCTAGTATTGTTGGTTTTCTTGATCATTATCTTCTTATGTACGATTTTTCCGATTTGTATGGTCGTATGTGTTGATTGTTATGATAGACGACATCAAGACGCCCAATAATTTGAGTTATTTGTGGATTTTCGAGAATCGTGGTTGCGAGTTATGCTAACTTATATACATATTTGATAATGCGAATATTTTAAGTTTTCATAAATGTGATTTTTATTTAATTTTGAACTGTTTTTTCTTCAAAAAATTACAATCATTTTGACTCTAAACACAATTGTTCTAAAATGACGTCAGCACCAGAAATGCGTCAGTGAAACGTCAGGTGAGGAATATTTTTGATCTACTACAAAATTACGATTATTCTCAAGAATTTCTAAAATGACGTCAGCACCAGAAATGCGTCAGCAAAGATGTGTTAAGGTGAATAACAAGATGATATTTTTCATCTGAAAATGATTAGGAGCACCACAAATACGTCAGCAAATAATTGTTGACGCATTTTTGGAGCATGTTGGAATTATGGAATTTAGAAATTTCTGAAAACTGGATTTGAATTTTCAAAATTTACATGTCAGAAACTTTCTGGATCCTTCTGAAGCCCTTGAAAACCTTCTGGAGCTTCTTGAAACCTTTTGAAACCTTCTGAAGTCCTCGGAAGCATTCTGGAGTCTCTTGTAACTTTCTGAAGTCCCTGGAAGCATTCTGAAGCTTTTCTTGAAAGCTTTCTGAAGACTTTTGAAGCCTTCTGAAGCCTCTTGTAATCTTCTGAAGCCTTCTGAAATTTCCTATAACCTTCTGAAGTCCTCTGAATCTCTCCGATGCTCCCTGAAGCTTCTGAATCCCAAAATCTGAAAATTATCAACACAGAACCATTTATTCATCATCCGACTAAAAATGTTTTAAAAAACCACCAAAAAATCTCAATTTGCACAATCAAAAAAAGCCCAAAAAAAAGAGTTTCATTTAATTATTTTCTTCCAAACCCAATCTGAAAAGCTTGTGGATCAATAATATTGCGCTTCGATTGATCCAAATGATGAATCCAAAATTTGCGAACATACGGTGCTCCAGAATCCTGACGTTTCTCCAACATTTCGAAACGTTTTGTGAATGGGTTGAGCGATGAGAACGGGTCGAATCGCTTGCTGAATGGATCGAAACGTTTCGACAGGGGATCAAAGCGTTTGTCGAACATTGGATCGAATTTTTTGTCGAAGGTGGGGTCGAATTTCTTGGTGTAGGGGTCGAAACGTTTGTTGAACATTGGATCGAATTTTTTTGAGAGTGGGTCGAATTTTTTGGTATATGGATCGAAGCGTTTTGCGTAGGGGTCGAATCGCTTCGCATTTTCTGGTCCCCAATATGAGCTGACTTCCGGATCGAACTTTTTGCTGAAAAAATTATTTGTGGGATTCAGAAGGCTTTAGAAGGCTTTAAAGGGCTCCAGAATGTTTCAGAAGGTTTTAAAATGCCCTTAAAAAGTTAAGGGAAGCCTCGGAAGGTTTCAGAAGCTTCAGAGAAGGCTCCAGGAGCTTCAGAAGGCTCTAAAAGACTTCAGAAGGCTTCAGAAGACTTCAGAAGGCTTCAGAAAGTTTCAGTAGGCTCTAAAAGGCTTCAGAAGGCTTCAGAAAGTTTCAGAATGCTCCAGAAGGCTCCAGAAGGCTCCAGAAGGCCTTAAGGCTTCTTAGCCTCAAAAAAAGAAAAATGTCGAAAAACAATTCAGATTACTCATGTTAAATTTAGAAAAATGAAACTAATTAGAAAATGTTTTTTGGATTTTCTTGTGACGTCACTAGAAATTTTAATTTTTCAAGGTTTTCGATTCTTGAGCTGAAAATATTTGGATTTGAACTTGAAAATTGAGTTGATTTTTAGGCTAAGAATCCCCGAATCTTAAAAGATCTATGCTCAAGATCAGGATCATTTCAAAAATGTAGATTTGAACTTCCAAATTAGGCTTAAGCCTGAGTTTAGGCTTTAGGCTTAGATTGGGATCTTTATTTGACTACAGTAACCCTAGATTTAGCCTAGGAATCTTAGAGGTTTCAGAAGACTTCAGAACGCTTCAGGGAGCTTCAGAAGCCTCTAATGAATTTCAGAAGGTTTCAGAAGGCTCCAGGAGGCTTCGGAAAATTCCAAAAAGCTCCAGAAGAGTTCAAAATCCATCTTGTCTCCTCTCGAAAAAAATCAAATCAGCCACTTTAAACTTTCAAAATTCAGAAAAATTTTTGCCAACAACTCACCTCAACGCTTGAATTCCGCCACAGTAAACCAAGAAGAGAAAAATGAGAAAAGTCATTTCTGGAAAAAATAAATGAAAATAAGAATAAAAGGTTTTGTTTGTTTTGAGTCACACGGGCAAAAAAAAAAGGAAATTGAGTACTTTATCTCAGAAGAATGAGAAAAAAAAACACATTGAATAAAAAAATAAAGAAGAATTTTCTCTAAATGAAAAATAGGGGGAGGGGGCTTGACTTTGGCCAAAGCAAAACGCAAAGCAAAAAAATAACAAAGCCAATTTTTTGGCCGGCTTTGACTAAGGCTAATCCACCACTGAAATGGGCATGTATATAGTTTCAAGGCACGCCCAAAAAATTGGCCAGAAGAATTTCTGTTTTGGACGGAAAAACACATTAATCAGGTTAATTATGCTCATTTGTTTTTTGGAAGCAATTTTTTTTGGAAGAAAAATTATAGCATCTCAGGATTCTTAGGCTTTTTGGGCTTCTAGGGCTTCAGAAGGCTTCAGAAGGCTTCAGCAGGCTTTAGAAGGCTTTACAGGGCATCAGAAGGCTTCAGAAGGCTTCAGGATGCTCCAGAAGGTTTCAGAAGATCTCAAAAGCCTCCAGAAGTTTTCAGAAGCCTCCAGAAGCCTCTAAAAGGCTTCAGAAGTCTTCAGAAGGCTTCGGAAGGCTTCAGAAGGCTTTAGAAGGCTTCAGAAGGCTTTAGAAGCCTTTAAAAGCCTTTAGAAGCCTTCTGAAGCCCTCTAAAGCCTCTTCAAGCCTCTAGAAGGCTTCTTAGGCTTCTCGAGCAAAAATGGAGCAAAATGTGGCTCAAAATATAAAATGAAAAAAATCTTCAAGAAAAAATCGAATCAAGTGAAAAAAAAATTCTGAATCCACTTCATTAAAGGAACATTTTTCCCAAGAAGATTCGAGCAAAGATTTATTTTTCTATTTTTTTTCTTCGGTGGCTCACAGAGAGTTCCCAGGATTGGATTTGAATTAGTGACGACAACGTTTTTTTGGCTGCTGAAGAAAAACTTAAAAAAAAATAAAAGAGTACGGTAGCTCTCAGATTTTTCCCGCCAAATTTCCGGAAAATTTTTAATGGCCTTCAAAACAGAGCCGGAAATATTTGAGAAATTTTGAAAACACTTGAAAATAAAATTTTTTGGCTTCAGAATAATTTTTATTCTGAAAATAGGAGATGAGGAAAAAACAAAAATAAGACTTCTGAATGTATTTTTTTTTGCAGATAAAGATTTCTAGAGACTTCTGGAGCCTTTTGAAGATTCAGGAAGCCATCTGAAGCTTCTTGAAGCTCTCTGAATCTTTCTGGCGCATCCCAGAGTTTTCTGAAGCCTTCTGGAGCCTTCTGAAGTCTTCTAAAGCCTTCTGGAGCCATCTGGAGCATTTTTCTTGCAGAAAAATAAAAAAAACAACACGACTTCTGGAAAAATATTCTGATTCGATTTCTGTACAGAAAAAAACAACAGCTGAAAATGTTTTTCTGGAATATTTTTGGTAAATATTTTTTTTCCTCACTGAAATTTCAAGAATCCCCCTGGTTTTCTCATGATTTTCCAGTAGTTTTCAATTGAAAATTCCTATTTCAAAAAAATCTGAAAAACCCGGAAATAATTAAAAGTGCGTTTCTTTTGTTTTTTTTTTCTTGCTTTTTGGAATAATTATTTTTGGATGACGTTTTGGGGAAAAAAAAAAAGAGGGATTTTTTTTTGAGCTACAAGTTTTGGTTCACAAAAAAAGTTACAATTTTTGAAAAAGTTTACAATTTTTTTGTTACAATTTTTTTTGAAAAGTTACAATTTTTGAGGTGTTTATTAAAGTTCAGGAGGCTTCAGAAGGTTTCACAAAGCTTGAGAGCGCTTCAGAAGAATTCAGAAGGCTTCAGGAAGCTTTAGAAGCCATCTGGAGATCTAGAAGGCTTCAGAAAAATCCATTTGGCTTCAGTTAGCTTCAGAAGCCTTCAGAATGCTCTATGAATCTTTTTAATATTAAAAATTGATTTTTGAAAATTTTCAGAATCCCGGAAATATTTTTTTTATTCTGAAACGTGTTCATGTTTGTTTTTGACATTTTTTTGAGATTGAAATTCTAAAGGCGTTCATTTCTGGATTTTTTTTCTGAAAATTTTGTGTTTTAGGAAAAAAAAAACGATTTTCTCACACTGAAAGTTTGAAAATTTCAAATTCAAAATTTAATTTAAAAATTTAATTTTTTTCCTAAATTCAAAAAAAAAACAAATTCGATTGATAAATTTTTTTAGGAAAAAAATTTGTGTTGTTATCAAAAAAATTTAAAAATTCTAGAACCAAAATTTTGTTCAAAACTTTATGAAAAAGTAACTTTTTCAGTCAGAAAATTCACATATCCAAGTTTCGCTAACTTCAGAAGACTTCAGAGGGCTTCCAGAAGGCTTCAGGAAGCTTCAGACGGCTTCAGATGATTGCAGGAAGCTTCAGAGGATTGCCGAAGGCTTCAGAAGGCTTCTAGAAGCTTTAGAAGCTTCAGAATGCTCCAGAAGGCGTTAGAAGGTTTCAGAGGGCTTCCAGAAAGCCTCAGAAACCTTCAGAAATCCTCCGAAACCTTTCTAATACCAAAATTATGTAATCATCTCAACAAGGAAGTTTTTTCATCCCAAATCATTTCCAAAAAAACCTCTTGACTTCATGTACTTCTCCCAAAAAAAAAAACAAAACATGTTGTAACACTCAACTGTGAAGTGAGCCCAACTAATTGCTCATCTTCAAATAATATCCCGTGTGCTCTCGCCCCGAAAAATTGAGCTGAGCCCTTCGAGCTCAGCTTCGAGCCGGGTACAACAGTTTTTTGCTTTTCTCTCTCAACCCAAACAAAAATCGTGCGCATTTGTGTTGATATTGTTTTTAGGTGGTGAGAATTTGATGGTCATCATTTCGCAAATCATTTCGCAAATTTCTGTTTGTTCAAAATCTTTTGCGGATCACCCCGTGAGAGTTACGAGAAGTGAACGAGAAAAGAAAAAAGGAAGACGGTGGTCATTATTACTTTTATCATTTTTTGCGCAAAGGGTTGGTGAGTTGGACTCTACCGTAACCCGAGATCAGTTTTTGATACTTTTTTTGAATTGAAATGTTTTTGTTCTAGTAATCTACAGTAATCCTTAATTTTGAATTTCTGGGTTTTCATTTTGAAACTGCGTTTTGTTTTTTTTTTGTTGGTATTTTTAAAACTACAGTAGTATTATAACATCTACAGTAACCCTCTGAATTTCTGAATACTTTTATCCCACTGTTACAGTACTTTCTTGTCTACAGTAATCCAATTTTAATTTTGGTTCTAATATTTTTGAAATCTTTGATATTGTGTTAGACTCTACAGTAATCCAAAAATCATTTTTTTCTGAATTAAGATAACTTACAGTAACCCGGAAACCAGTTTTTGATATGATTTTAGCTGAATGTTTTTACAAGATTCTTAAACTTACAGTAATCTACAGTAACCCTAACATTTTTTGAGTTTCAAATATTCAACTTGAAATTGTATCTCTTGATTTTTTTTATGTTTATAAACTACAGTACCTCCTAATAACAGATACAGTAACCTGGGGGTCTCTATACAGTACCTAACAACTTTTTTATTAGGAAATTCTGTGTTGAATCTACAGTACCTTCTAGCTTTTACAGTAATCCAGAGAAAATTTATTTTTAAAATTATAGAGAAGCTCATACGGTGCGGCTGCTTGACAGATGAGTTCATAAGACGCGGCTGCTTGACAAGGAAGCTCATAAGGCGTGGCTACTTGACAGATGAGTTCATAAGGCGCGGCTGCTTGACTGGAAAGCTTATAAGGCACAGCTGCTCGTCAGGAAGCTCATAAGGCGCGGTTGCTTGATAGGGAAGCTCTTACGGCGCTGCTGCTTGACATAAAAACTAACAAGACGCGGCTGCTTGGCAGAAAAATTCACAAGACGCGGTTGTTTGACAAGGAAGCTCATAAGGCACGGCTGCTTGACATAGAAACTCACAAGGCGCGGCTGCTTGACAGATGAGCTCACAAGGCATGGCTGCTTGACAGAGACGCCCACAAGACTGCTTGACAGATGAGCTCATAAGGCGCGGCTCCTTGACAGACAAATTCACAAGGCGCAACTCCGATCCTATTTTTAATCGACCCTAATTTCCCTTCCCCACAAAAACAAGCGATGCGCGAAACGAAAAACTGTGTGAGATGTTCCAGTTTGATATATATCACAATGTGTTATCGTATTTCAAAATCTCTCTGTTTTTGCCTCGCATCTTTCCATATTTTCACCCTCAAAACATCTTTTCAAGTTTTGTTTCTTTATTTTTTTTTGTTGGCCAAAAACAAAGTTTTGATCCACCTTTTTATACCAATTTTATAAACAAGTTTATTTTTAGGTCCCAAAAAGGACCTTTTTTTGTTTATTTATATTAGGAACGGATAAATCTCATATATAATATTATATTGAAAATGAATGAAAAAAATATGTAAACTCATATAAATTTTTTGTGCTGTTTTTATGAGAAAAACGAAAAGTTTTGAGCCGGTTTTTACGACTTGTTCTTGTTTTTTGCATATATTTTCGTGCTCTTCTTGTTTTTGCTGATGAAAAATTTCTAGCTAGCCTGGACCACCCAAGAAGCTTTTTGGACCACCCAGAAAGTATTTATCGTTATTATCTTCTCTTGGTGATTTTTTGTTTTGTACAAAAATCAGTTTTTACAGATCATCCTGGAAATTTCAAGGACCACCCGGAAAAGAAAAGTTTGTGAGACCACCCATATTGTTTTTGACCTAACATTTCAGACCACCCATACATTTTAAATCAACCCTATTCAAAAAATATAGCTGATCCCAGAATATATTGGATAAAGCTGTATGGGTGGTCCTCAATACCAATAGACCACCCATACAGTTTTAACCAACCCTGTTTAAAAAATATAGCTGATCCCAGAATATATGTATTGGATAAAGCTGTATGGGTGGTCCTCAATACCAAAAGACCACCCATACAGTTTTAACCAACCCTGTTTAAAAAATATAGCTGATCCC